GATGAAGATACTTAAGTAATTCATGAATCTAAGTAAATCAACAACTTGAAAGGAAGAAGAGATAAAAGGTGAGCAGTCTCCCTCCCCCTGCCTGCTCTGGGACTTGTGCATTTCTCAGCCTTGGACAAGATGGGTAGTCATCCATTTCCAATGGAAAGGTCAGCTGTCTCTTAGCATCTGCTTTCCATTGATTTTTCCCTCTTCCCAGAGAGTTAATTTTCCTCTAGTAACCCTCTCTAAAGGCTTAAGGTCTCCCTTGATCTCCATCATTACCGAGAAGGCATTTCTCCTCCTCACAGTTCCTTTCCTCCTCTTGGCTTGGGTCTTCTCTTGTGGCCAGTCTGTTTCCAGTTCCAGTCTGTTTCTTCCTACCACCAGCTTCCATCGTCTTAGTTAAAACAGGGGAGATCTGGTGAGTGCACTCGACCTCTTGCCGCTGTGGAGCCGTTCCAGTTTTACAGATGATGAGATTCCCCAACACAAACAAGATAACCACAAAGTTTTTTCTTTCAGCTTCTTATCTGAGCTGATCTGAACAGTGCAGTTTGCTACTCAGACTAATGGTCTGAGCTTTATTGATATGCAGCCGAAAAGAAAACATCTTCTTGAGGGCAGCAATACATTTTTCGTCTAAATTTTAAAAGGGTGGAGAGGAAGGTTTCCCACTGAGCAACTCTGGTTGCCTCTCATTCTTTTCCTGTCTTTGAACAAGAAACAAGATCCCTTTAGTTTTGATCTGGGAACTGTATTCTTTTGCTCCTACTTCTGTTAAGTAGAGTTTGGGGGATGGAAAGGCAGGTGGTACACGAGATGGTCTTGGACCCCAGAAGTGAAAGAATCATCCTCTTGTCCCACTCTCTTAGAACCATAAAGACCTTGGCGACCTGACTCGTTCTCTGTTAATGTGCCAATATGGCACTGGCTCTCCTTCTAGTACATTGATTCCAGTTCTCTGCATAGAGTTTAGACGGAAAAGAAAACAGTCTGCTTGGGGAGGGGGTTGCTGTCAGCTTTTGTCATATACCAGGGAACATCTGTAGCCAAAGCTGGTGAAACCAGGTCTCTGCCAACATGAATCAGCAGCTGGGTTTTGTATCCCGCCCCACAAAGGGTCTCCAGGTCCTGATAATCCTCCTCTAACGTAATGGAATTTGGTGGTACAACTTCATGGGGTGTCTCTCTTGTCAGAGGGAGAGAGGGATTTTTGGCAGGCCACCCAGCTTTGTCCTTGACGAGTGGTAAGGAAACCTTTATTGGTGATATATTTGGGGTGTCTTTAAGTGAAGGCCAGAGCTGTCCCTTAACACTATCTCAGATCTTCTTTCTTGTCAGTGCTGATGAACCTTGAGTGTACAGAGCCAGAGCTAGACCCCACTGGAATCTGGGAGGAGATGGCTCCCCCAGTCACTGGGCCAGATAGACTGATAGTTGAAAGCAGCAATGTTGGGAGAGTGACCAGAGCTACCGAACCGTCTGTCAGCATTGGGGAACTTGTTGGGCAGATACTCTTTTTGTCATTAGGGCTGACTAATTGTGAGGAGAATACCCCCCTCTGTGAGGTGCTTTGAGAGCTCCAGCCAGAGAATGGAGCGGAAAGTCCATCTCTGGATGGTTCTGAAAATGGACCAGGTTCTCATTCCTCTAGGCTATGTGTGAAATCAGGAGTATTGGACCGGATGGCCTCTCAGGACTGTAAATCAGAGTCCTGCCCATCTGGCACCCTCTGTGTTCTTACTACACCCCCTCCCCCATATGTTTTGCTCTCATCTCCCTCCTTCCTACCCCCACATTAGAGTGTGATAAGCAAACTGGTGCTTATCAGGAGTCCTGGAGGCTGCTGATCCTCACGTGGGATCTTCTGGCTTCCTGCCACAAAGCAGGATTTAGTCTAATACCCAAACACTAGAGGAGATGGGCACTTGGGAGCTGCCCTTTCAACGGTGTTTAAGGACTTGACGGGGTGAGGGGCCCGGGGGAACTGCCATAGAGAACAAATTGATGTCCCATGACTACTATAGCCATAGAGGTTGTGACTATCTGTGCAGCAAGGTCTAGGGGTCTCAATCTTTAATTACTTCTCCCCAGTGCATTTGACCTTGTCTCACCTGAGCTGGGTCATCCATCATACTGGTCTTTTGAGGGTTTTGTCTCCAAAGTAGGTTCCTGTGCTTAGAAGCAAATTGATAGTATTTGCTTGTTAATTTTTCTGCAGCAACAGACTATAAAAGGTAAACTTGTGACCTGTGAGAGGCTTCTCTGCTTCTTTCCTGGTCTGGAACATTTCTGGAAGAATTCTCTTCCTCTTGGAGACCCATCAAAAAACTCAGCACAACCTTAAAGCATCTACTTTACTAACCTTATTACTCCCCCTTCTTACAAGGCTACTTTCTCTGCCCAGCTCCCTGAAGTTAGGAGTGAATCATTGTGACTTCAGCTGAGACTCCCTTGTGAAGCTTTGTAGAACTGTCACAGGTCAAGACCGAAGCTCCCCTAATCCAGCCCACTAAAATTAACACACATCCCTTCTTAACCCTGGTGTACCCCACTCATGCCATCTAACCTTGGGGTGAAGGGAAGTTGAACAGTCAATGATCCCAGACATAGTTGTTTGTCCTTTGAGTGTGTGTCCCAACTCATTTAACCATGTGGCCTGCAGGTGGGACAGAAGCCATTGATTTATCTTCTGGGAAGGAAAACCTCTGTGAGAAAGGGTAAAGGCACCACACCCCCATCCCCTGACTTGAAGGAAAGGGTTGAATAGGTGCAAAGGGAAAAGACAGGTATTGCCACCTCCACAGAGAGTCAGCCATTGAGGCTGGTAGAGAACGGAGCAATGAGTTCATTCAGAGCACCTGCTAGATATATGTGTGCAAGGAAGAGACTATCCAGAGGTCAAGCAACCATGTTCTACATGACTAGTTTAGAAATTCATAAACTCCATTGGGCTCTTTTTTTAGTAGTCTCCTCAGTTAGACCAAAGATTTTTGCTAATTCTTACATTTGGAGTTGAGTCAGAAAGAGAGGGCACGGGAGGTTCTTAAAGCAGCAGCTGTGGTGCCGTCAGTCTTCTGCCTCAAAACAGAGCCAATTCCGTATCTGTAAGAGACCCATTCAACCTCAGGACCATTGCAGGGCCGTCCGGGCGGTGTGCCATTAGCCGCCCAGGCACATTTCTCAGCGCCACAGAACCTGGAAAATTATTCATAACAGGATTCTCTGTGTATGTGTCGGTATGTTGAGAACTCGTGCTGCTGTCCTCTCCATTCTGGAGCCCGTCCTGGTGAAAGCATTTCAGACAGATAGACACCCAAGGCACATGAACAAGTATTCCCACATCCAGGGCTGCTTATCACTTCATTCTTATACGTGCAGTGGACCCTTAGCTCAATTTTTACTTATTTCCTCTGTTTTTTTTTTTTTTTTTTTTTAATTTTAAATCTCTCATCAGGATAATTTTTAAAGTAATAATTATTGTACCACCCTAAATTCCTTGAATATTACTTTCTAAACCACATCTCATTTGGTCTTCTTTGTTTTTTTGTTTTTTTCCATCAAGGGACAGGGAAAAGCAGATCATCCCTACTTTCATTCCTACTTTATAGATTAATACCCGAAGAGGCTAAAAGGGAAAACATTGACTACAACTCCAGTTGCTAGATTCTTGGCTTCATGTCCTCTTTGTAGACCCGAACCATCTTTTTTGAAGCCCCAGATGCAGATTCCTGATAATAATAGCAGCAGTTACCATTTATGAGCTTGCACTGTGCTGGACATTTTATACACATCATGCCTTTTCATCTCTCCACAATTATTTGGATATTGGTATTGTATCTTTTTTTTTTAATGTTTATTTTTTTTAAGAGAGAGACAGAGCACAAGCAGGGAAGGGGCAGAGAGAGAGGGAGACACAAAATCTGAAACAGTCTCCAGGCTCTGAGCTGTCAGCACAGAGCTGGACATGGGGCTCGAACTCAAAATGTGTGAGATCATGACCTGAGCCAAAGTCAAACGCTTAACCAACTGAGCCACCCAGGTGCCCCTGGTGTTGTATCTTTTTAAACTGAGATCTGGAGAAGTTACTGTTCTAGAGAAGTGTCAGGACTCCAACCCAGGGCTTTCTAGCTCGAAGGAAAGTCCCCATCCTTCATTCTCCCAATGTCCTGCTCTCTGACTAAAGTTGCTGTGGAATGTCGTGCAGCTCAGAGGCCAGAGAAATTGGAGGCTCTCTTTCACCTACTCCAAACCCTTAGCCACAGCTGAGCTGCCTCCTGAGAAAATAGTAGCTTTGGAAATAAGCCTACTATTGAAGGGAGATTCTCCCTTGGAGAAATGGATACGATCTATTTAATGGTGATTTATATAAGCTAGAAAGAAGTCATGTACCTGTGTGTTCAAGATTCCCCTCTTCCCTGCTTCCTACATCTTAGCGCACCTTTTAGGTTTCCTTAACAATAGCAGTTTTAACATTGCTTTTAATTAGATGAATTAAGAATGTTCTCTGGTGTTATCACCCCCTCCCGCCCCCCTATCACCTTCAGTTCTCCATTGCTGTAAGAGCTGTGATTTCCATGGTAACGGGACTCCCAGTTGAGCTTGGCTCTCACTGGTTTGTCTGGTCAGGGGAAAGTTAGGAGCAGACCTTCCTGGGGAGTGGAGCTCTGACAGCCTTTCCAGGGGGCTACCGTAAAGCCACGAAGTGAGAAGAGCTAAAAGGTTGTTATGTTAAGGAGAGCATGAGCAAGCTTCCTGCAGAAAAGCCTAAGTGACCCCTAGCCTTGCTGGACAGAGTTGTAGCCTTCTCCTAAAGTCAAGGGCCCCAGGCTCCCCCTGCCACCTCAAGTTCTGCAGTATGTGTAAGAGGCCTTCTGTTCCCAGCCTAACTGGCTCCTTTCCTCCCTGTGGTTAACTTGCTTCCGGCCATAGAAGGGACTTGGTTATTCTTGGTAACAAATTGTTTCTCCTCGAATTCTCTTTTCTTCCCTCTTTTCTCCCCCACCCAGAGAGTTTTCAACGTCCTTTACCCCATGCCTGCCGACCAGCGGAGACATGTCAGCATCAACTCTGCCCGTTGGCTGCCCGAGCCAGGGCTTGGCCTGGCCTATGGTACCAACAAAGGAGACCTGGTGATCTGCCGACCAGAGTGAGTGGCCCAGGGCGGGCGGCAGTATGGGTGGGAGGGGGTCATCCAGGCTGAGGACGTGAGTGATCAGCACCATCTGGGGGTCTGGCCATGAGGTGGGGTCTTGTAGAAGGGAAATCGAAATTCTGCTAGAGCCTGCCTCATTCTCTGCATCACTCCATGGAGGGTCCTTTTAACTTGAGGTTGCTAGCGTTAGCTCTCCGTCCCAGAAATCTTCAAAAGACTGGTTTAGTTATTATGTCTTCTTAAACCTAAGGCAGTATTTTTTTTTCTTTGTTTTCTCTTGTTCTCTGGTTCCCTAGTGATAGTAAAATTTCCCTGCAGGCAAAAGCATAGATATCAAAGATTCTTTTCTAAACGCTTTTTGAAAAATTCAACAGGTGGTCTTAGGTTTGTATAAATGCCATTGTCATAACTTAAGAAATAAAATTGGAAATAAGAGTATTGTTAAAGCCCTAATTTGTCAGGCCACTGATCTCTAGCAGCCTGGCTCTGTGTCCTGCCTGTTTTCCTTTCTGCTTGTGCTTCATAACAGTGAAGGCAGATTGGAAAGCTCCATTTAAAATCAAAATGATTATCCGGTCTTGAAGTAAGGGGTAGGAGGGGACAGGGAACCATAGCACCTCTGTGTTGGGTCCTGATGACACCCCTTCCCCTTGTGGTGTTTTGGAGGACAGAAGTCTATTCTTTCACTTGAGACCCTGGGAGTCAGCCAGGTCTGTCATCAGTTTCCAGACCCAGCCAGGTGGGGCGCGTGAAGCTCTGTGCTTCAGTGCAGATCAGGCTGATTGCTGCGTGGGCCGCTGCAGGGTTCCAGCAGACTAAATGCCACTTCTGCCTCCAGACCGTCCTAATGCTGTCCTTCACTTGGTGCAGCGCCTTCTCCCAGGGTGTTCTGCAGATCACAGAGCATGGCGTGACTGGTCTGGTAGGGTCTCTGGCTGTTGGAAGTGTCCACTTTGCCTTTTAATAGGGCCTTTGGTGATTTTTCCTAGGGTGTGTATTTGGGTCACTTCTTGCGGCCTCGTAGATGACTGGTGACTGAGCCCTTGTCAGCTGAGCTAGGTCAGTAGCTCAGGAGAAAGGAAACCCGGTTCTAAGGGGAGCTCTTTCATTCTATCCTGAATTTTTGGAGCCCCTCCCAAAGAGAGGCTGCCATCTGAGACTGTGGTCCTGCCAGCTGCACTGTCCTCAGGCTCTGTGTCCAGAGAGCCCCTTTCGCTAGCTCCTTGTGCCTTTCCAGAACCGTGCCTGCCTCTTTGAATGACCGTGCCACTGTTAGCCCCGTCGCTGGGTCTGTCTGTCTCTGCCCTCCCTCTGGCATGACCGTAGCCGTGGAATCAGTCTGCTCTCAACTCCTTCTTTTTCCCCAAAGCACATGAGACTGCTTATCTTATCTCTGCCTCTTAGACATTTATAAGAGGACTCTAATAGACATCTTCTCCAAAGCTGGCACAGAATTCTGGACCATAATTTTATTCTTAACAACACTGTAGTTATAGGCCCTTCTTAGTCCCCATTTCCCCAAGACATCCTTCCTCAACATTATTGTCTTGTCTGTAGCTCCAGCCACTGACCTTTGTGCCAGGCAAACTCCCATCCCCGTCCCTTGCAGAAGTGGCCTGCCCCTCCCGAGGCACAGTCTCTACTTCCAGGTTGTCGTGGTCCCACAAAGGCTTTTGTGTCTGAAACCCCGGCCTCCGCACTTGGTGTGAGTCACAGACACCTCAGCCAAACATGAAGCTGGCTTTGGCCTCTCTTCTCTCTTTTCTCCCCATATGTCGTCTTCAAGATCCAGCTTCACTAGGCTGGAGCCATCCTGGGCTGCCTGGGGAACTCTTAGCTGCAGGAACTCAGGCCTCTTCCAGGAGCAAGGGAGCCACCAGTATTTGACAGCACAAACAGCGTCCCATCGCAGACCAAGTTGCGTTGGCCTGAGAGAGAGAGAGCTAGCTTGGCCTACCTGTCTTGGGGTTGCTGTTTCTCCTGATTTCTTGGGTCCTTTTGGCAAATGCCCCAAATCTTAGGGTGCGTATTTAAGGGGACTGTGCAAATTAAGACAGACATGACTCTGTCCCAAGTTGTTCAGTTTCTCTGCTTCTCAGTCCCCTTCATATCTGTGGAATTTGGCTTCAGGCAGGGAAGCCCGAGCAGTATTCCGGTAAAGAAGGAAAGACTCAACCCAGGTCTCCCAGCAGATCAGAGACAGAATTAGGCTTCCTGACTGTCTAGTCCAGAGCTCTTTCCTACAGCTGGTTTTTGTGGGGTTTTTTTTTTTAACCTTTTTTCAATCACAAACACCTTTGAAATTCTGATGGAAACAATGTACATTTTTCCGCAGAAAAACATACCACAAGAACACACGATTTCATAACTCTCTTAAGACCTCAGGTAAAGAATGCAGCTCTAGGTTACGTTGAGGCATTTAAGCGGTCAGATGATGGGGACGCGGTGGGAAATGAGAGAGGAGTGAGAACGTTCACATCTTTTGAATAGTTGGTGGTTGGTCTCTGGCCTAAAATGAGGAGAACAAATGAATAGGGAAGTAGGAGCTCAGGGTTGTGTCTCCAGTAGGCAGATGCCTGAGGCTCACCGCCCATCCCCTTGTGATACAGTTCTGGCACACCCTTTCCCGAGGGCATAGCAGCCAGCCAGCCAGCTGGGCCAGGATTACAAGCCCTCCCTCTAAAACAGGTGGCCGTCTTTGTCCACAGACACAGGCAGCTGCACCTCCGTTTTGTGCTTTCAGTCCTGCTCTTGATTTCTCCTCCATTGTCTTAGCCTCCACACTCTGTCCAAGCACAAAGACAGAGGTCACAAGCCCCTGGGGCATCTCTCGTGGCACTGAAAACCCACTGAGGTAGAACAAGGCCTAAGGAAATCCCCATTACTCCAGGGTAAGAAATTCTTAGGACAGGTGAGGAGATGAACAGCTGGCCCTGTAGCCCCTGCACAAAGCCAGTAGGGTGGCAGATAGCCCCGTCACCCCACCCTTCCCAGCAGTGAGGCGCTCCTTTCTCCTTTGCTTTGCTCCCCCACCCGCCACTCCTCCCAAGCTGCTGCTGCGCCTCTGGCTGACTGCCAGCCCAGCCAACACCCCCAGTGATAACCATAGTGGGCGTGAAGTACCAGATTGATGTGAGGGGGTGCTTGCTCACTTCCGGCTTCATAGATCAGCCCTACAAATGGGGGGGAGGTGTTGCTGGGAAGACCACTGCTTCTCAGAGTCAGCTCTGAAGACAGAATTGAGGGACTCATGCCAGAAGAAACTAGGCCGGGACCGTGGGGCATCTGGCCCCCTGGCTGAGTGTGGGGCCCTGTCAGCTCTGTCCCTTAAGAGGGAGCTACCACTGTAAACAGTGATTGCAATCAAGCATCACTGACCAAGGAGGGAAAAGGCAGACCCCCGAGTCCAAAGAGGAGCCACAGAGACTTCATGTTTCAGGCTGCCCCACAAGAGCCAGGTGCCAGCTCTTTCCCACTTTGCAGAGATAGTGGGGATAGATGCCTGTCCTTCTTTCCAAAGAGACAGCCATGTGGGCCAAGCCTCTGCAGTCATGTAAGTGACAGAAGAAAGAAGGATGTTCTCAAAGGGAATATTCCCTAGATGTTCAGAAGTTCAGGGGTGCCTGGCTAGCTCAGTCAGTGGAGCATGTGGCTCTTGATCTCAGGGTTGTGAGTTTGGGTGCCACTTTGGGTGCAGAGAATACTTAAAAATAAAATCTTTAAGGGCATCTGGGTGGCTCCGAATTTTGATCCTGGCTCAGGTCTTGATCTCACAGTCGTGAGTTCAAGCACAGCTTACAGCTGCTACTGAAGGAATCCAGGCGTGAAGTGGAAGTCCATTTGAAAAGGCTGACGCTGGGGTGCCTGTGTGGCTCAGTCGGTTAAGCATCTGACTCTTGGTTTTGGCTCAGGTCATGATCTCATGGTTCATAAGTTTGAGCCGCACGTCAGGCTCTGTGCTGACAGCTCAGAGCCTGGAGTCTGCTTTGGATTCTGTGTCTCCCTTTCTCTCTGTCCCTCCCTCGCTTGTGCTCTCTCTCTCTCTCTCTCTCTCTCTCTCTCTCAAAGATAAACATTTAAAAAAAAAAAAGAAAGGAAGGAAAGATTGACCCTGATTGGCCTTCCATGCTTCTTCATACTTTTGTGTATTGGTCTGGCTTCCAGGAAGAACCTAAGGCAAACAGTGACTGTTTGATCCTAAGACCCAAGGAGAAAGGAGATGAGTCAGGACCATTTTTCAGCTTGTAGATGGAAATCAGTGATACTGGGTATTGAAGGCTAACAGTCCCAGTAGCTAGAGAGTGTATCTTCAACTCTGATCCTTGGTACAGTACCTGGAATTCTATCCAAACTTTCAAAAACATGAGCTTGCTGTAGTCGAGCTGCTCTCACCACAGAAAGCAGAACAAATCAGGGTGAACAGTAGACCTGTTGGTGGGGGGGCAGAAAGGAAGGGGGGGCCTGGACGGCACATCTGCCAATCTCCATTGCCTCCTTCTGTTGGCTGTTGACCTCATCACCGAATGTCCCAAATTCACAGTTCTGAGCTCACAATGCATGCTGCCAGATGGAAAGTGTTTAGGGGACCCTTTGACCATCAGCATCATGCGAACAGTTCCAGCTCATAGAATGGGCCTTCAGGTGGCTGGTCTTCTGAGACAGGAAGGAAGGTTCTTGGTCACGCAGTGCATAGCTCGGCGTAGGTTTAGTGTGAACAGTTTGTTGTCACTAACTAGCCCTGGCTAGCAAAAATTACAGAGGAAGGATTTGGCAGGGACCCAGATGGTATTGCCACCTGTCAATAAATCTTGACAAGTTTGTAAATCAAAGGCTCCCTGGCAGCTGGCTTCACATGGTGCCTCATGCAGCCAGGACTTGGCTCATCAGAAGCTATAGTGATGACTTTGTTTTTGGAGGTCTCTGCTGTTGACCTCTAGCCATTTGCCTCTTCCCTAATGGAAGGTCCTCTCCTGTCACCTGTGCCCTGCAGTGCCCTGCTGTTCTCAGACAATGCCCACAAAAATAGCTGAATGTTCCAAAGGGGAAGGAGCTGCTCCTTCTTAAAGGGATGGTTTGAAGATCACACCAAATCCGCAGCCCAGCAGGCCCTCAGGAGTAGCCAAGAGGGGTTAGTACAGAGCAGGGAATGAAGGGTACTTGTGTCTGGCTGTGGCCCTTTCCCTCCAAAGATGCTGGTGTGCCCTCAGGTGAAGCCCAGTCCCCAGAATCTTCATGACCCTTGAAAGACAGATAAGGGGCTCAGGCCTAGGTTGGTTTCCTTTCACCTGCAGTAGCACAGCCTCCTGACACACAGTCCCTCCCCATCCGAGCCCTGTCAGGTGCCCGTCCTGGCTAATCCTGTTTAGGAAGGAAGCACCTTACTTGACTCCCCCATAGCTGTCTTTTCCTGGCTTATCCTCTTGACCCACTGGCTTTGATTTCTCTTTTTTTTTTTTTTTTTTTTTTTTTTTTTAATGTTTATTTATTTTTGAGAAAGAGAATGCAAGTGGGCAAGGGGCAGAGAAAGAGGGAGACACAGAATCCGAAGCAGGCTCCAGGTTCTGAGCTGGCAGCACAGAGCCTGATGCAGGGCTCGAACCCATGAACCGTAAGATCATGACCTGAGCCGAAGTCAGACACTTAACTAGTTGAGCCACCCAGGTGCCCCTGATTTCTCTGCTCTTTACTGAAGAAGTTCTGCCGTTAAAGGAAAATGACCTAGGCCTCTCAGTTGAAAAGCTAGCTTTCACTGGAGCTTGTCTTAGCTTGGGCATCCAAAGCAGACCACCACAGACTGGAGGGCTTAATCAACAGAAATTTATTTCCTCACAGCTCTGAAGGCTGAAGTCTCAGATCAGGGGCCAACATGGTTGGGTTCTTGTAAGGGCTGTCTTCTCACTGTGTCCTCACACAGTGGTGAGGAGAGAGAGCGCGTGCGTGAGATCTCTTTCTTACCCTTGTTCTTCTTTTTTCTTGTTTGTTTTTTGTTTTTTTTGTTTTAAACTTTATTTTTTTTTTTTTCAACATTTTTTTTTTATTTATTTTTGGGACAGAGAGAGACAGAGCATGAACAGGGGAGGGGCAGAGAGAGAGGGAGACACAGAATCGGAAACAGGCTCCAGGCTCCGAGCCATCAGCCCAGAGCCTGACGTGGGGCTCGAACTCACGGACCGCGAGATCGTGACCTGGCTGAAGTCGGACGCTTAACCGACTGTGCCACCCAGGCGCCCCAAACTTTATTTTTTTTTAAGTAATCTCTACACACAGTGTGGGTCTTGAACTTTACAACCCCGAAATCAGGAGTCACATGCTCCACTGACTGAGCCAGCCAGGCACCCCATTTTCTTACTTTCTTATAAAGCCACAGCTCTGTTGGATTAGAGTCTTACCTGCATGACCTCATTTCACCTTAACTACCTCCTAAAGACCCTATGTCCAGCTATAGTCACACTGGGGGATAGTGTTCCAATATATGGATTTGGGGGGGTACAGTTCAGTCCACGGCTGTGCTCTTCAAGCACAGTGCTCATGCCCTGTCTCATTTAAAAGCAGAACTGGCTGTTTTGAGTATCTCTTAACAGTCTCCACAGGGACACCAGAGTTCTGGTTTTTTTGTTTTTTTGTTTTTTAATTTTCAAGTGAGGTCTGTGCCCAGGGTGGGGCTTGAACTCATGATCCCGAGGTCCAGGAGTCTCATGCTCATCGCACTGAGCCAGCTGGACGCCCCAGGGACACCAAAGTTCTGATGGGCCCAGACACCTCTTCCTCATCTCCTATCCACACCTTCAGCACAGCACCCCACCCTCAACCACAGTGACTGCTAGGTAACGCCTCTTCCTGGAAAGAATCTTTAAAAGCAAAGCAGTCTGTGTAACGGGGCTGCTGCCTGTGATGGTAAGTCATCATGGAAACGTCAGAAGCCACTGCTTCCCTCCTGGCAGCGGTGCCCTATGACAGAACCGCTTGATGGTCCATTACAGGGAAAGGAGGAAGCAGGGCAAGGTTGGCAATCTGGAGAACTGGACAGATAGAAACTCCTCTCCGCTGTCAGCAGTGCGGCCAGTGGCCACTCGAGGGTCTCTCTTCTACGCCAGTAGAAAGTATGGGGACACTCACAGGGCCGTCTTCTCTAGGAGCACCTTTCCCCACTGCTAGCCCAGCCTGCCCTGGCAAAGGAGGCTCTAGGTCTAGAATAGAAAGCCTTGTGGACTATTCTGGCTCAGTGGGGGCTTTTCCCTGCTTAGACTTCTGAGCTCCAGGCAAATTAAGAATGGCAAGATGCCCTGGTTTTCCTTCCTCCCTGCCCCACGGCAGCAGGGAAGACCCAGTGGCAGGAGCCTGTGCTTTCTCTATTTCGGATCACTAAGCCCACACTTGAGGCAGGGCTGTCTGTGGCACCCCGTCCCTCCAGGGCCTCCCCAGTCTCTCATTTGCTATCTTAGCTCCTTTCTTTATGCCTGAAGAACACTCAGCCCACTGCCTGCGTACAGTGTGGCTATTTTTTAGCTATCTCTTAGGCCTGAGGAGGAGCTGGTGAGGCACTGTTCAGAGGAAGGAAGAGGCTAAAAACCCACCACTACAGGCATTTGGGCTGTTGGAGATTTGTCTGCACTGCTCCAGCACTGCGCTTCCTGGTGGAAATCTCCAGTCCTTGTCTCAGCTCAGCCCCAAGAGAGACAAAGGAGAGATGAAGGAGGGCTACCAAGCCACAGGCCACAGAGCCTAGGAGGTGTAAGGAGTTCTGGCCATTCTCTTTCTAATGCTCTCCACCTTTTCTCCTCCACCCTTCCCAACTGCTTTTCAGGGCCTTGAACTCTGGTGTTGAGTACTACTGGGACCAGCTAAACGAGACTGTCTTCACTGTCCACTCCAGCAGCAGGAGCAGTGAAAGGCCAGGGTGAGTTTGGGAAGGAGGAGGGCACAGCTGTTGGAGGCCTGTCCCTTCCTCCTGTTTCCAGTGGGCTCTCAAGCAGTGCCCTCAGACTGCTCCGGGGCTCTCTGGGTGCCTCTCCTCAGCCACAGCAGCTCCTCTTTGATCTGCTTCATGCATTGAGCTTTTGCACACAGTTGGATTCGAGAAAAGTATTCTATGGCAAAGGACGAGAACATGCTCTGCTCTTAGAGTCTTGACTGAGAATAAGCTAGGACATCCTGTGGGCTTCTCCCATCCTGGCCATGGTATCTGGGCACACTGGGGTGACGGGAGAAGACAGAGCACTAGGGAGGGATGCTGTCCACAAGAAGAGTGCTGGGAGCCCAGGGAGAATCTGTGGACAATACCGCAGGTGACCAGGGCCTCAGGGACCAAGCTGCCCGGAGCTAGCACCCAGGGACAGACACATCCCAGGAGCCAGTTAGAGTAGGAACCTCGTACTGATCCTCTTATCAATGTATTAAGGAAGACTGAAACATGAGAAAAAAGTGATATGGGTCAGTAATACATGCAAGGGCATCACTGCTTCCTAGAAGAATTACAGGACATGGCTAGAAGAATAGTCCCCAGAAGCAGCTAGAAATGAGTAGCTGGTGACTGTCATGGAAGTCCTGGGCCCCCTCTGCTGCCAGCTGTATCTATCCCAAGGGTCAGTGCCTGGGAAATGTGCAAGGAAAGGGGTGCTAGCTTTGGGCCTGGGCGTTATTCATAGGTCAGCTGGACTGCCTACCTTCAAGGGTCTGTTGTCAGAAGGCCCTAAAGGAGGAGCCCAGAAGGGCCTCATAAGAATCCTGATGCTTTTCCTCCAAAGTGGAGATCCAGTGGAAATTCCAGGAATTTAAACTGGAATCTTGTCAGCATATAGTTAGAAGGAAGGAAGGAAAAGCTAAGAGAGGAAAGGTCCCTTCTACTGCTCACCCTTTGTCCCACAGATCTCTCAGCTGGTGGCTTCCTGAACATGGATAAGAGGTGTTCTTTTTTTTTTTTTTTAATGTTTATTTATTTTTGAGAGAGAGACGGAGTCTCTGAGAGAGAGGGAGACACAGAATCCGAAGCAGGCTCCAGGCTCCAAGCTGTGAGCACGGAGCCTGATGCGGGGCTCGAACTCTTGAACCACGAGATCTTGACCTGAGCCGAAGTCAGATGCTTAACCGACTGAGCCACCCAGGCGCCCCTAAGAGTCTTAAGATGAGCCTTCTCTACCTCCCCAGAAAAATCCTCATTGTTTAAGGGAGTGACTGCACTAACTGGCTTTGCAAAATTGGATGGTTCTGCAGCTTCCTCTCATTGTCCCAGAGCTTGCCCTGATCTGGAGGAGAAAGGACACAGCTGAGTTAACTACTTTTGGGAGGTAGCTGCAGCAGCACAGGGCTTCTTTCTCGTCTTAGCCTGTGGGCCCTGGTCCAGGGGACTGTTCCCTGAGGAGTGGCGTGGAACAAGTGGAACTCTATGAGGCCTACTGTCCCAAATCCTGCCTGACTTCAGTCTGCCCTTCCCTCCCTAGAACCAGCAGAGCCACGTGGAGGACTGACAGAGACATGGGTCTGATGAATGCAATTGGGCTGCAACCCCGGAACCCCACCACATCAGTGACATCTCAGGGCACCCAGACTCTGGCCCTTCAGCTGCAGAATGCAGAAACACAGACGGAGAGGGAGATACAGGAGCCAGGGACAGCAGCTTTGGGTCCCGGTGAAGGTAAGAGTCACGTAACACCAGAGGGGAAATATGACTGGGAATGGGCAGTTGGGACCTTCATCACCCCTCCTGGTCTGTCCGCAGAGACCGTGGTGCTGAGAAAGGGCCCTCCCCTCTCAGAATGACTACCCTCTGACTGCTTGGGGAATGTTCCCCTGGTGGCGTTAGGAGCCTCCTCAGGCAGGAACAGCATCTCCCTGATCTGGGTCACTGTTTCCACCCAGTGGAAGCTGAGTTGCTCTTACAGCTTTGCTCCACTCCCACCAAGTACCCTGACCTCCTCCTCCTCTAAAACTTGGAGGACCCAAGTTGTTCTTCCAGAGAGAGCACACAGGAAGTAGTGTAGATGGGAAAGACTGCAAGAGAGACTCACTGGTGCGAGCTCTTATTCCACGGACAAGCACACCAGACCTTGGGCTTCCAGGACCAGCCCACAGGATAGCTTGTCAAGCTGCTATTACACCCATGGCTCCTTGCCCTTCTGGCTACAGCCGGCATACCAGCAGCCCCGTCCTTCACCTACCTCAGGTGTAGCTCAGCCAGCATCAGCCCTGGCTCTGTGCTGGCCTCACACTTCTGAGAACCAATTAGCACTTCCCAGCGGTAGAGCTCGAGCCACTTTGGAGTCTGTCGACAGCTGTGTTAAGCAGGCTGTTCTCACTCAGTCACTCTCCTTACCCCCACCCCAGCCCCCTTGCCGGTTGGAGCTCCAAACAAGGCAGCAGCCTCCAGCCAGACACATATGCTTTAGGTCTGTGTTGAGCCATTTGCTCAAAAAAACGTCCACAGAAGGAAAAGCCATGGTGTGCATGAGGCGTGTAACAAATTCACCTGTGTCTCCCCCAGGGAATAGCTTTTCACACTCTAGTCACCCCACAGGGCACAAGTTGAATCCTTTTTTGGTCTGTGGCCCAGGCCACCTCCCCAGCTGAGGCCCGTGACTCTTTGTGGGGTTCTCGCCAGTTTCAGAGGCCTGAACCTCATTCCCTTCCTGTCTCCCCCGCCGTAAAGGAGAGCAGGTGGTGGAGGGTGAACCATTCGGAGGCCAGAAGCACTCTTCAGCAAGAGTAGCCATCTGGCGCTGAAGTGTGGGCAGAGTAGGCTTGGATAGCTCTCTGCATCTGTCTGAGGCCCGGTGACCTTTGCCTAGAGCTCGGGAGCACAACCCTTCTTAGCATCCCAGTCCTTTGCAGAAGACCCTCACCTAGACAGAAGTAAGGGAGAGGTGTGGGTTGCAGGGAAGGGTGTCACTGGCCAGCCTCATGTCTCCTGGGGCTAGGAGCCTTGTTCTGAGGTGCTTAATTACCCCACTGGACCACCTACCACTCCTACCACTCTGGTAGCAAGGCAAGGGACCGGGAAGCAAGAGTCTCCTTGGGTGCAGGTGTCCTCCCTGGCCCCCCCCAATCCCCTTCCAGCAGGCAGGCATGGCAGCTCTGCACATCCCCACCCCCACCCCTGCCTCCTCTCTCACCTTACTGGCAAACTGGCGGCCACACCTGCCGGAACATGTAGAAGAAACCTTTAGTTAAGTTAGCTAACCCTTCTTGTTGGCGTAGCTAGGAGGTGGGGCCAGGAGGGGTACATCCCTACTCACTAGAGGCCCAGCTAGATTAGTGAGGCAGGCAGCTCTACCTGAGTAATTCACACTCTGGGGCTGCCTGTCCCTTAGCCCCTTCCCCGTCAACACCAAAAGGTTCCCGGGCTACTACTCATTATCTTGCTCTATAAAAATTTGATTAAAACCCATTCCGCTCATTCTAGGATGTCCAGGAAGAGCCTGCCCCAGGGGGAATTTGCAGGTGTCAGCTTTTTAGCTTGTCCACCTTTAAACCTTCCCTGCCCTGTCACTCAGAAAGGGAGGGGTGTGTTCCCAGGGCTCACTGCTTGCTCCCCTCACTGAAACAGTGTCCGCCTGGCATACAGTAGGTGCTCAGGAAGTGTGTGGAATGAATGGACTTAACGGAGCAAGAGCCCACCCCTGAGCGTGGCTGTGCTGTACTCTTCTGTCTCTGATCTCGGAGGAGGCTTGCCCGGGGCTCCTTCTTGTCTGGTGAAGATGAGAGTTATTAGCCCCACTGCAGTAGCCTGGGCCCGGGGCCAGAGAAAAGCGAATGTGGAAAGTGAGGGACTAGAAAGCCAGCGGGTCCCCTGAGGGCAGGAAGCACAGCTCCTCTTCCCACTCAGCCTGGCTCCCCTCTTCTGGTCAGTGACAGCCCCAGAATTAAATGCAGTTACAGGGCATTTATGGGAATTTGCTGATCCCATCCTGGCATCCACATCCAGAAAGTACCTTAGAACTTGCCAAGGAAAAAATGTCCTGTCAACACTAACTCAATTTCCCATTTTTCAAAGACAAAAAGAAATGCTTTTGCTAGGGAAAGAGACAGTAGAATTAACCTCTGTGGCCACCACTGCTCCTCGAGCTAATAGCTTGGATCCCCAGCCACGGCTGCCTTTTCCTTTAGGCCCCAGTGTGTTTTTTTCTTGAAGAATGTGCCAGCTGCCTCCAGTGCCAGCTCTTAGCCTTGGCTTAGGGTTCCCGAGAGAGAAGCACAGCTCACAGCTGTGTGCACAAGCATGAGGAAGTCGTCTATGGGCACAGTTTAACTTCTTCCATCTAGTCTCTTTTGAGCACTTACTTTATGGATGATACTGTGTTAGGCACCATGAATCCAAAGGTGTTGCAGAGAGAATCCGATTCAGAGATGAAGCCATCATCTCTCCCTTCAAAAAGCAAGTCCAGGGGCAACTGGGTGGCTCAGTCTGCTGCGCATCCAACTTTGACTCAGGTCACAGTCTCAAGGTTCTTGGGTTTGAGCCCCACATTGGACTCCGTGCTGACAGCTCGGAGCCTGCCTGGGATTCTCTCTCAGTCTCTCTCGCTCTTAAAATTTAAAAAAAAAAAAAAAAAAAATCCAGAAAGGAAACAAACACGTAAGTACTTCTCCCATAGCAGAGGAGCGACATGTGACTAGGTTTCAGAAACTGCCTTAAGTCTGAAGCACCTGTAAGCAGCCTGGGAGCCCTTTTATTCAGCCACACATTCACGTGACAAATAGACACTAAGTGCAAAGCCGTGCATTAGACACTGGACCCAAAGATAAATAAAACTTATTCTGAGACCTTCAGGGACTTGGAGACCAGAAGGGAGATGCCACAGCCACAGATAACTCACACAGAGAAGAGTGGGACACTTCGAGGGCTCAGGGAGAGAGCTGGTGGGGTGGTATTTACATTGACTTTGACATCCACAGTGTGTCCCTGGTGTACGTGAGCAGGGGATTGGAAGGCACACAGAAGTGCCTAGTTGGGTTTGGTGTGGTCATTGGTGCAAGAAGAGGGGATAGTCTGGGAAGTGGCTCGGACCTGACCAGAGGGCCCTTAAATGTAATGCTAAGGCATCCTGACAGCTTTGAGGGCTTTTGTTGCTGCTGGGTTTTAAACAGATTGTGGACTTAACCAGAACTCAGTGAATCCGAGATTAATTAGAATGGTAATAGCAGCGTGGAGGCTGGGTGGAAAGGGGAGAGATCAGCAAGATCAGGGAATACAGCCACAGTCATGGTGAGAGGTGGCCAAGACCAGAGCCATGGGTGCAGTGGGAAAGGGCAGGCGGGGCCGGGCTCCCTGAGGGCCTGGCTATGGCACCTCCCTTAGGGCGCCAAGGCAGCCCTGTCCTGCCCCTGGAAGTGAGCTACATGAGAAGAGCTGATAGTTCACCAGGCACAGAGCCCAGCACAATGAGTTCCAGTGCCAGCGGGCCTTGGGCCAGCCCACTGCACATCCCAGACCCAGCTGGGGAGGCCCTCAGTGCACAGAGTTCTTGGAAAGCAGTGGGGGTGGCAGTGAGCACAAGGAGGTCCCCAGGGGGCCTCGCCAGGCAGCTCTTTTGGCTCACAGGGTGGTAGCTCTGCTGGCACTGAGGCCCTAGGTTGACCTTTCCTCTTACCCTCTGCCCCACTGTGGGAAGGCTTCTCCCCCTGAGAGAAGTGCTGAGAACCTTTCAGATCCTTTTCTTCTGCCCTGGGAGTTGGCACTGAGCTTTCTGAGGGGGAAGCTTGGAAGGGCAGCCACCTTGAGGGCCGGCAGGTGGCGGGGGCGGGGGGCGGTGGATAAGTAGAGTGGACTGGGAAAAACAAGCCGCACATAAGTGAAAACCCAGGCAGAGTCCCCGCTGCTTAATGTTGATGAGAATCATCTAAGACCCATAACATGAGACTGCCAAGCACTAACAAGGAGGGAAAGATCTAATGGGGCTTTAGACACCATGAAGCTGTGAAACTGGCTGGAAATGCAGCTCTAACAAGGAAAGCGGAGAAAAGGGACTGGACAGGGAGGGAACAAAAAAAGTCTTACAAAAATAGCTGTTGACAATAAGTACTCAAAAAAGAAAAACCCTCACCATCAGCGCCCCCAAATCTGCAAAATCCCAAAATGGCCAGCAAGTAGCCAAAGGAAATAAATTGATAGTTCAGTAGTGCCAGCCCTAGCAGCCCAGGAGCCTTGATCATAGTTGCCCACAGCCTCAGATCAGCCCACCGAGGGCTGAGCACAGGCGGAGGGAAGGTCCTCAGGACAGAGCCCCACTCACAGACCTCAGGTTAATCACTACAGCCACCACTGACTGAGTGCCCACTGTGTGCCATTATCTCATTTCCTCTACCCTGTGTAAGCTAGTTGTTTTCATCCCTTTTATAAAGTCTGGAAACTGAAGGAGGTGGATGTTAAGCGACTTGTTCAAGGTCACACAGCTAGTGAGTGCGGGACAGATTTGAGCCTAAGTCTCCTCTGCTCCCACACAAAGGAATGCTCAGGCCTTTGGGGAAGGAACAGAACCTTCTTTCTCTCCCTGGAGATGCGGGCTGAAGCCTCAGGTCTGGGCAGTTGGCTGTCTCCAGGGGAAGATGAGGGTATCAGGCATCCAGCCCAAGGAGAATAGTAAATGGGAAACAGCTTGGGAAAGCGGGTGGGGAAAGGAGGAAGAGAGGAGACAGAATACCTTCTAGGGAACAGTTAAAAATCCAGTCTTCCTTGTGGACTTTTAGAAAGTAAACAAAACACAGAAAAGACAGTTTTGAAATGAAGTAGAGCAGACTGTTTGCTTTTGGGCCTTACCCTGTAGTTGCCCTCTCTTTCTACAGACCAGGCAGCATGCCCTGTCCGGGGCTGGGTCTCCCAGGTTACCCAAGACAGGCAGAGGGCAGACAAACAAGCCATCTGCATCCACCTCAGTCCCCTTCACTCGTGTGGTAATTAGTCTGCCACTTGTGTCGGAAGGGTCTTCTGGTCCAGCTCTGCTTCTTAACTGGCTGAGTGGCCTTGGCCACCTCATGCCATCCTAAGCCTCAGTTTCCCCACTGGTAAAACAGAAATGGAAATGATGATCATTTGGGGAGTCTTGTCTAGCTTTCAAGTCTCTGATTCTCAGAAGGAGGGAATTAGACTCTTCTCATTTTTGCTTTTGGCAAAGAATCCCCCAGCTCCTACTCACAGTGGCCTGCCTGCCTCAGAGGCTCCGGCCAGCCACGAATTCCCTCTGTCTTGTGTTCCATGCCTTCCAGGTGAGGGCTCGGAGTCTGGTGCGAGCGGGGAAGATGCCCTCAGCAGGATCCAGCGGCTGATGGCAGAAGGGGGCATGACAGCTGTGGTGCAGCGAGAGCAGAGCACCACCATGGCCTCCATGGGCGGCTTCGGCAACAGCATCATCGTCAGCCACCGCATCCACCGTGGCTCCCAGACGGGCGCTGAGCCCGCGTCCGCCCGCGCCTCCTCGCCCCGGCCCTCTGCCTCTCGGGGACTGCTCCCGGAGCCTGGGCAGCTGGCAGAGCGGGGCCTGAGCCCCCGGACAGCCTGCTGGGACCAGCCTGGTGTCCCTGGGCGGGAGCTGCCCCAGCCCACCCTGCCCTCTTCCTCCCCTGTCCCCGCCCCCCTCCCCCTCCCCCTTCCCAGCACCGAAGGACCAGCCCTGCACTGCGACCTGACCAATAACAACCACCTTGCTGATGGCGGTGGTGGCAGCAGGGGGGAAGCTGCAGGCCCCAGCAGGGAGCCACGGAACAGGTAGAGACACACGTGTGTACTGGTGCTTCCCCTCGAACCGCTGAGCAGAAACCGGACCTCACAGCTGACTCGGAACTGTACACGCGGAAGAGCTGCGGGCTGCATCAGGGAACAGGAGCAAGAGGGTGGGGGGTCGAGAGGAAGTCAGAGTCAGTGGGCATGAGGCAGTCGAATGGGCAAGGCTTGCCTCAGGGGACTAGAACCTTCCAGGATCTGGAGCCCAGGGGAGCCATGCTGCTGTGCTACGTGTGAATGGAGGAGGAAGTGGCTATCCCTGCCATGAACCCCCCCTTTCTCTTAGAAACATGGCTTAAAAGACTCGCCCCTGGGCAGAGAGCCTTAGAAGGGTGAACCGTCTTCCAGATCTGGGCCAAACCATCCTGGACAGTGGCCAGTGGGGCACCTTTGCCCTGACTACCTGTTGCATGGGCAGAGCCACTAGGAGCCCAAGAGCAGGAGGAGCAGCCTGGCCCCCAGGAACCACCTCCATCTCTGAGCCTTCCAGAGCTTCAGCCTCTCTGTATCATCTTATCCCCTAGAGACCACAGTCAGGGTCAGGCCAGGCTCCCAGATTCCTGAGGACAGGGACTTCCTGCACTTACTGATGGGGGACAACCATGGAGTGAAGGGAGGGGGGGCAGCCTGCTTGCCTGATAGAGGATAGAGTCAAGGGATGGTGGGCAGGTCCTCACTCAGGAGTGGGGGGTGTAGGCTGGCCGGCCCCCAGGGCTTGTCCACCAGGCTCCTCTCCCCCGGCCCCCAGGCCCTCAGAGCAGCACCTGTGGGTGGCAGTATTAGCTGAGCCTAGGCCAAAGCCAGCCCAAGGCTGGGGGAGGGGATGAGACTCCAGGTCAGAATGTGAGGTCTCGGTCTGTGATTTAAGGTGTTGCATGTGGAATCTTGAACTGTACGTGTAGTTTCTAGTGGAGAAATCAAGGCTCTGATTATTTTGTTTTTAGTATGAAAATGTGATTTCTTTTCTGTTTGTAACTCATCATAGAAACATTGTGGTGGGAGGAGAGGGGATAGTCTGACTGCTAATGAGGGAAACACCAAAGATCTACATCATTAAAGTGATGACATGGCCCTCACCAGGCTCTTCTCTGTTTGTTTCCATGGAGGATGGAGGAGGGGGTGGTGATTGGTAGGGGGCAGCGTCATTGAACCAAGCTGGGCCCAGGTTCTCTCAGGCACTGTTTCTGGGGCTGCTGTCCTACGTGGGGAGCCCCATCTGTCCCCTCAGAAGAAGCTGGCTTCGTACTACGTCTCTGTACCGCCACCCCCTGCTTGCCCCAGGTCTGCTAACGATTAGGGCAGCCTTAACAGGGACAGGTGGGTATGTAGGAATGACAGAAGGTCACTGTTGATTGCTTCCTACCCAGGACTGTGGGTCTGGAATGAAGATGTAACTGGCCAAAAAGCCGGGTCCCCTCTAGTCTCCAGAAACCACCCATAATGGGTGTCTGGGCTGGCCAGGAAGGGAGCTTGGTCTTGTCTACAGGCATCCCTCAAAATGCCATTTGCTAGAAAGTAGGGAAAGATATTTGCCCCACTCTTACAGAAGCGCACAGGAAAAACAGAGCCACCCCAGGGATTTTTGCCAGCAACAGCTATTTCTTGACTGTCTCTTGTGTGCCTCTGTCCCAGATGCTATGGGGCATGTAGAATTACAGATTCTATCCCAAAAGGGACAAAACCAAAAGATCAAATGGTTGAGCAAGTAATACAAAACAGTGTGAAAATGTGAAGAGTTATTACATAGTCACAAACACTGGAATTTTCTAGCAAATTGTAAGAGTGGACTCTGGACTAAAAGACACATCAGCTAGCTGTGTGACCTTGGGCAAGCCTTTTCTTTGCTTCGCTTTCCTCCCTTGTAGTAGGATACAGGGCTTGGATTATGTAACCTCTTAAAGTTACTTGCAGCTCTATAATTTCGAGTCATTCGAGGTCAGAGAGCACTGGAGCGGTTAGGACCAGGCTTCCTTGAAGAGGTGGGGATATGAGTTACTGAAGGATGGAAGAAGAGCACCCCACTGCAATCCCTGCACTCTACCCACATGTTCCACCCCCCAGGGAGAGGAAGAATTCCTTGTTTTGACAGTAGGGACTATGAATTTGTTTAGTGTAAACCATGCGCCAAGGATTCTTATTTTGATTCTCATCACAAAAGCCCTCTGAGTACTGGTGTTACCCCCAGACCACACATCTAACTGATGGAGCCAGGATTTAAACCCAGAGGGGAACCCTACTTTGTTATTTTGGAAAACAGGGTATGAAGAAGCCTTGTGGATGAGATGATCCAAATTTGGTCCTGTCTGCCTTGCGTCTGCCCTGTCTGGCCAAGGATGAACCCAGCAGCTACCTCTCGGAGGCTCCTACAGCCTTTCCGTCTCCATATCAACCCCTTTCCTTGGAAAGCCCTTGCCTGGTGGATAGAATCCTCTACTAGTAGTAAAGCCTCCGGGCCCCTTCTCGTAACAAGTTGGGTCAGCAGGGCAGAGCTTGGCAATCCCATCTAGAGACAAGGAATTAGGTTCAGAGAAGTTCTATGGACCCAAGTTGTCTGTGGAGCCAATTGGCCCCAAGGGCCCAGGACAAAATTAGGTCCCTTGGCTCTCCACAGTCCTGTCGGTTCTGAATTGGAGGGGTCAACCCCACCCAATGGTAAGGATTTCAGGGAAATGGAAGCAGCTTTGCCTGATACAGTTTCTTTGGAACTCAAGGCAACGGTTGGAGACATCTCTGGTTTCTGTGGCTTTCCATCCTTAGCCTGGCTTGTTTCCCTTGTTTAAGGGAAACACTGTTTAAGTATCTGGCCTCCCCAACCCCTCCATTCCACACACACATAACACTACCACCTTCCTAGGAGCGCTACCCTGTCCTGGACCCTAGGAGAGATATGACAAAGTGGAACAAAGGCAGGACTGTCATCTGATTGTCCTAGGAACCAACTGAGCCTGTTTCCTCACCTGTGAAGTGGGGGCAAGAACAATAGCTTCTTTGGACATTGGTTATGAGGCTCATGGGAGACCAGATCATTCATGTAAAGGACGATGGCTTCTCACTCTTACCTAGACAGCCAACTCCAGCTGCCCTGGGGAGCACTGGTCTGGACCTTCACCTCCTCATTCAGCATGGAGAACACACCAAAAGCCCCGCAGCGCTGGGTCTTGCCCCAGTTCCTACCCCTTCTCTGGCAGCTCCTGCCGCCTCTCCTCCCACTGCCTTACCTGCCTCTGCAGTCCCCCTCACAGCACCCCCACCCTGTCCTGGAGCAAGGCGGGGCGGGACCTATGTTGTTTTTCCAGGACAAGGAATCAGCGGTCTGAAGGTTAACCGGGTGTTTGTGCTCAAAGAGTTTGGGGGTGACAGGCCTCAGGGCCTAGGCGTGGGGAGACGAATCCAACCCTGGCTGGCCCCAGGAAGGGCCATCTCCGATGGAGGCGGAAACGCGGGTGTCGCGGCGGTCGGGTGGAGCTCTCCGAGGTGCTGAAGCCACCGACTCAGTCCCGCGGGCGCCTCAGCCGCAGACTCCCAGGCCCTCCCGCTTCGCGCAGGCAAGGCCCCGAATCCTCAGGCTCCGGCCACTGAGGTTCGCGGAGACCTTAAGAGACCGGCAGCTCGCCCTCTGGGGTCTCGTTCCGGGCTCCGCCCCAGGTGACCTTGGGCAATCAGCTTTCCCTCACAGGCATCAGTGAACTCGCCCACCAGGCCGCGGCTGAATGGGTTCGCGTCCCATCCTAGGGCTGGAGGGAGGATGCGCACCCCTTCTCCGGCCTGGAGTTCGGGAGCGGGGAGCCAGGCGGTGGGGGTGGGGGGCCAAGCGGGCATTGTGCGCGATGGGCGGGCTTCTTTCTCCCTGGCGGACTGTTGCCTGTCCTCTCTCCAGCTCCTTCCCAGGCCCCGACGGCCCCTCTTCTCTGGCTGCCCGGTGGCCAACATGCGGCCCTGAGACTGGAAACTGCCGGCCCTCGGCTCTCCGCCCCGACGGAACCGTGACGGCTGAGCCGACCCCACCCACCCGTAACCTCTCGTTGGGGTCAAACACTCGCGCCTCCGAGGTCCCACTGTGAGCGGAGACCCGTAGGGAGTGAGGTCCGGGCTGGGCGCAAGACCACCTCCGGGGCCCGGGTGTTTGGTCAGAGCGGAGGCGGAGAGCGCAGCCAGACGGGGTGCCAGCTCCCTCCCCACCCCGCGAGGGGGCGCCGCGTCCCCATGACAACGCGGACACCCCACCCTCCCCCCATCTCTGCCTCCCGGGAGGGCAGCGCCCCCCGCTAAGCCATACTGTTGACCGTGGGCGGTGCCCCACCGTGCCCGAGCTGGGAGCTGCCGGCCGGTTCCAGTGAGGGGCGCGCGTAGCTGGGGTCCCCGACGCCCCGGGTGGTGCCCCCCGAGCGTCGCAGTTGGGTGGCCGGTCCGGGGCGGGCGGCGCGGCCCCACCAGGATTGGCTGCTTCCCCGTGACATCACGCGGCTCGGGGGGCGCTTGCGTGCGCGCGAGTCCTCAGGACCACAGCGCCGGGAGCTGGTGCGGGCGGGCAGGGGGCCGACCCCATAACTCTGCGCCCCACCCGCCCGGCCGCTCCGCCCGCATGGGCTCCACGGGCCGCCCCGCTAGTCTCGTCTTGTCAGGTGCCAGGGGACCGGGGGCCGTCTGTGTGGAGTGCCGCGACGGAGCAGGGCGGGGGACACGGGCGAGAGAAGCGACGCGGGTCGGACCTCTGAGGTTCCTCTGGGTGAGGTCCCCGGGACGGGTCCCCTGCAGGCTCCTTTGGGGGCAGTGCTGGGAGCCTGCCTGGGGCCGGTGGTGAGGGTCCCTCGCTGGAAGAGGCGACTTGTCCCCGGAAGCTTCTCTCCCAGGCGCCTCTGGGAAGGAATGGACATTCAGGAGGTCGGGGGAGGGGGTGCCCGCCCGTCCCCTCAGGCACCTGAGGCCAGCTGTGGCGGGATCACCTCCAGCCACTCCCACTGGCAGGCTCTGGAGGCGCCGGGCGCTGGAGTCCTAAGACTTTTCTCCCGCCGTCTCCCCGCCCCCTCACCCCCCGGAGCGCACCAGCCCACCCGGTCCACACGACCTCTCGCACCTTGAACCCGCGAGAAACACCTTACCCCTCTCCTGCGCCGTGCCCCCACTCCAGGATGGCACTCCCCGTGCATTGCCAGGCTCCGAGCCCGGGAGAGCCAGAGCCAAGCCCCAGGCCCAGTGGCGGAAGTGTCAGCGCAATGTCGATTCCGAATTTCCTGAGCTCCTTCTCCCCCTGTGAACTCTTGAGTCTCTTCTCCCGCCCCAAGGACGGATTCAGGGGCCACAGCCTTCCCAGATCCCTACAGTGAATGCCTAAGAACCAAGGACCCACACCCCAACCCCCTCCCCACGTCGTCCAGAGCACGCGCTCCGTTCTCGTCCGGAAAAGGGGGGGGGGGTGGTGCTCCAGAACCCGGGAAAGCATGGTGCCCACGCCCAGAGGCTGCAAGAACTGCGTGCTAGGGCTTTGGGGGGAGGGCGGGGCACCAGAGAGCCAGGGCCCCATCGACCAGGACGGAGACTTGGAGGAGCCTCTAGATGAGCCCAAATAATACCCTCCAGGTCTTCCCAGGCCCAGGGCTTGAGAAATCAGGTGCCCACTCAAGATGCTGGGGCCAGACGGTGCCTCTCTGGCGGGGTGCAAGGTTAGAAGCGTGGGAGCGTTAGAATATTACACTCAACTGACCCAAGCCCTGGCTGGGCCTCCGCGTTTTGGGGTGCTGCTGGTACACTCTCGCGGGCGGACTGGGCACCCTTTGGGCATAATGCTCCGCGGGCAGGCTGAGCTGAGCCTGGTGTCCTGTAAGGCTAGTGGGGCAACTCAAGCAGCGGCCCCTCGACAGAAGTCAGTCACAGGCTGGGACGCCACCCACACCGCAGTGTTGGGACCGGGGACACCACTGGGTGCCAGCTGAGGCGATGCCCCAAGGTCAGGGTACCCGTTGCAGCCCAGATTGTAGTCTAACCTTGCTGTCCTGGCCACGACCCTTCCCCACCCACGAGCGGAGCACGATCCAGACACTGGCTCTTGACTTGATCTTCTCTGCGCTGAGACAGCCCAAGTCTGAGCTGAGTCTCCTGGCAGGGGCTTTTGGACCGAGTCAGGTCACCTACTGTGGACCCTGCCTTTGCTCCTGTACACAAACTCACAGGGACAGGGCACACTCGAATCGTGTGCATCCCCCAGGCCACAGCACTCCGGGACCGCACACGCATGCACAAGCACGTGTCCACATGGCCCGGGCCCGCTCACGCGCACACGGGCACACTGGTATCCAGGCGTGGCCGAGCGCGCACACACGCACATGCAGCTACTAGCTTCTACTCGCGCTCCCCAGTAATCACACACAAACAGAACTCGCACTCGCCTTCCCGCCCACATGTTCCTCGGCGGGGCCGAGTGTAAGTCGCGCGCCCTTAACTTTTCCACCACTGAACCCGCGTGGAGTCGAGGGCAGCTCCCAGGCGGGCCTTGGCGGGGGAGGGGGTGAAGGGGTGGGGAGAACCGCGTCCTTCCCCTGGGAGGCCCTGCCCTGGAGCCTCCTCTGTGCTCGCGGTCGCGTTGGAGTTGGGGGCGGCGGGAAGAGCGGCCGCCCTCCCGGAGTCCGGAGCTGGTACCCAGGGCTCGACATTGCCATCTAGTGGTGTGCACAGCCCTGGGCAGCGTCTCCTTCCTCCCCACATCTCGGGCGGGCCTGGATCACAGAGTAAACGCCCCCAGAGAGAATTGCTGTCTGAATGCCTCCGGGAGACCCCCCAGAAAGATGGTGGTGTGGGGGGCGGGAGACACCATGCCTCACCTTTTCTGCCGCTGGCAGCTTTCCCAAGAGGACCCAGAGCGGAACTAAACCACCTGCCACCTCCTTGGAGACAAGATGTCCCCGAAGGAGACAAGAAAGAGGTCTCTCCTCTTCTGGGAAAGCTAAGTAGGGGGGCTGGCAAGGAGTGGGAGGGGATCCTTAGTTCTTTGGTTTTGAACAGTGGCGAGTAGAGGCAGGAAATCAACCCGAGGCGGGTTGAGGTTGAGAAGGTGGCTCCTGGGTTCTAATCCTGCCCCTGCCCCTACTTACACACTGGATGACTTTGGGCCAGCTAATTAACAATGTCCTCATCTGTAAAAAGATACTTACATCAGTGAGATGGGGATACTATTAGTACCTGCCTTATCAGGCTTCTGCAAGGATTAAACCAGATAATCTATATAAAAAACTCAGAGGGGTTCCTGACTCATAGTTAATAAACCAAGGCTATTATGTTTTTCATATTTGGCACCTCCAACCCCGTTCCCATCTCGCTGGCCTGCGTCCTGGCCTGGGGAGGTGAAAGCAAGGCTCTCCTTGGAGCTGGCGGACCGTTGCCCACCCTGCACCTGCCTGCATGGGCCTGGGGAGGGCAGCCTCTCCATGCTGGCGGCCCCAGCTCCGAGGGCGACACCCGGAATCTCTCCAAGCTGAAAGGAGCTGTCGGAGACCCCAGGGAGGGTGGTGTTCAGTCTTTGCCCTTGACTCGTTTGTGACCTTGGAGATGGCCACACCCCTCTTTGAGCCTTTCCTCCTGGGAACCAAGGGTTTGGACAGGTGAGCATGAAACGCCAGGCTAGGAGGCTGGGGCTGTGTCTGCAGTGGTGAACGAGGGGAGTCGAGGCCAGGCTTGGGCGGGGGGAGTCACCCTGACACCTGCCTTCAGCCTGTGGCACATTTTCATGCTGGAGATGGAAAGTCTAGTTGCTGATTCCCCACAGCTGCTTGGGCGGGGTCCCAGGACTCAGTCCTCTCTATATAGTGAATGAGCAAGAGAAGGGCAGGAAGGTGAGGTGGCTTGTCTAAGGCCACACAGCTACACCCTGCTGGCCTTGGAGCCTGGGCTGCAGCGGGACTGCTCCTTCCTCCACACACCCCGCCTCTCTCTCTCTCTCTCTCTCTCACACACACACGGACGCTGTGTATACGACAGTGCTCAGGGCTGGCGGGGCTGGGAGGGGGCCCCTGTGCGTGTGTGTAATGGTGTGCATGTTGGCGGGTGTGAAGGAGGCTGGGCTGAACGGCTGCCCTGGCACGGCGCGCCGGGCGTGGGCCCCTCTCACGTGTATGGGAGAGGAAGGCGGGGGAGAGATGAAGAGGAACCTGGGTGGGAGGGGGTGCAGGCCGTGTGCTGGGGGGGGGGCACTGCGTGCCGGGTGTCTCGGCGGGTCGGTGAGAGGGGGGGCTCTGGCTGCGACAGACTCCCCTGCAGCACTGCCCCTCTTCCCTAGGATGCTCTGGTTCTTCGGGCTTCCTTCCGTTCTCGGTGGGTGGGAGGCGGCCTGGCCCCTTGGAAGCCATGTGTGCCTTTGCTTGGCTGGCAGGCCTCTAGGCTCCTAGGCTTCTGATTCCTCACGGTTGTCCTCAGCTCCCACCTACTCCCGCTGGCTGTGGACAGTCCCTAACTCCCCTGCACTGAGGCCCTCCCCCCCCCCCCCCCCCGACACTGCACTGGGGCTGGGAGGAGGCTGGAGTGGAGATGTCTCAATGGCAATGGCATGTACCTCCCGAGCCTCGCTACATGACACTCTCCTCCTCATCCTTGAGGCTTCCCTCTCCGTGCCCCCTCTGGTCATCCCAGAAGCCCTCCCCGAGGTGGGATTACTGCCTCTTCTGGCTCTCTGGGCCTCCTTCTGCCAGAATCCTTAGCTCTGGGACAGCAACACGTCAAAGACTTTGTGGAACCTTGGTCAGGTTATTTAACATCTCCGTGCCTCAGTTTCCTCATCTGTAAGTAGTGAAAAATCTAGGATTCTACCTCACAGATTTGTCGTGAGGAAGAAATAAATTAATATTTATAAAAAGCACAGAAACTTAGTTAAGTATTAGCTGCTAATATGTATCCTTGCCTTTGTCCTCAGTACCTTCTGTAAGGATTGAGAACAGGTCCCCTGGTGACGTTTGGTTACAGAACGAGGAGGTAAACGAACGAACACTTCCGGCCAGAGCCACATGCTGACCTCTGGGACCACTCAAGCCCTCCCCATTGCTTCTGTGGGCCCTGCACACACTGGCCTTCTGTCTGTGCCCCACACGTGCCTCAGGACCTTTGCTCTGGCCATTGCCCCTAAGTAAGCCACCTCTGCAGCTCTTCACATGGCTGTCTCCTCGCCACTGTCCGGATATCACCTCCTTGGAGAGGCCTTCACTGATCACCCAGCAAGGCAGCATCCCTATCTGTCCTCTGACTCCCTCACTCTACTGTTGCCCTGCCTTGTGTTCATTCTAGCACTTTTTTTGTTGCTCACGTGTCTGTGTGTCTGCCCTGATCAGGCTGTAAGCTCTGTGAGAGTGGGGGCCGCGTGTGTCTCATTCACGTCCGTAACTCCTGCACCGAGAACAGTGCTTGCACAAAGTAGGCACTCAGTAAGAGATGAACGAAGGGATGGGTCAGAGTTCTCTAAGGTTCTGCGTGATGATGTCCCTCTGTCACCTTGAGTTACCTCTGCAATCCAATTCTACAGCTCATCCTTTTCTCTCTCTCTCCTTCCTTCTCCAGACACTGCCCGCCCACTACCGCTAACCAAAATGGCGAACTTCACACCAGTCAACGGCAGCTCGGGCAACCAGTCTGTACGCTTGGTCACATCGACCCATAACCGCTACGAGACGGTGGAGATGATATTCATCGCCACGGTGACAGGCTCGTTGAGCCTGGTGACTGTCGTGGGCAACATCCTGGTGATGCTGTCTATCAAGGTCAACAGGCAGCTGCAGACGGTCAACAACTACTTCCTCTTCAGCCTCGCGTGTGCCGATCTCATCATAGGCGCTTTCTCCATGAACCTCTACACCGTGTACATCATCAAGGGCTACTGGCCTCTGGGCGCCGTGGTCTGTGACTTATGGCTGGCCCTGGACTACGTGGTGAGCAACGCCTCTGTCATGAACCTTCTCATTATCAGCTTTGACCGGTACTTCTGCGTCACCAAGCCCCTCACCTACCCGGCCCGGCGCACCACCAAGATGGCGGGCCTCATGATCGCCGCTGCCTGGGTCCTGTCCTTCGTGCTCTGGGCACCCGCCATCTTGTTCTGGCAGTTTGTGGTGGGCAAGCGGACCGTGCCAGACAACCAGTGCTTCATCCAGTTCCTGTCCAACCCAGCAGTGACCTTCGGCACAGCCATCGCTGCCTTCTACCTGCCCGTGGTCATCATGACGGTGCTCTACATTCACATCTCCCTGGCCAGTCGCAGCCGGGTTCACAAGCACCGGCCCGAGGGCCCTAAGGAGAAGAAGGCCAAGACTCTGGCCTTCCTCAAGAGCCCCCTGATGAAGCAGAGCATCAAGAAACCCCCACCGGGGGAAGCCGCTCAAGAGGAGCTGCGCAACGGCAAGCTAGAGGAGGCGCCCCCACCGGTTCTGCCACCGCCGCCGCGCCCGATGGCCGACAAGGACACTTCCAATGAGTCCAGCTCCGGCAGTGCCACGCAGAACACCAAGGAACGACCACCCACAGAGCTGTCCACCACAGAGGCCACCGCGCCTGCCATGCCCGCCCCTCCCCTACAGCCGCGGGCCCTCAACCCGGCCTCCAAATGGTCCAAGATCCAGATTGTGACAAAGCAGACGGGCAACGAATGCGTGACAGCCATCGAGATCGTTCCCGCCACACCAGCTGGCATGCGTCCGGCGGCCAACGTGGCCCGCAAGTTCGCCAGCATTGCCCGCAACCAGGTCCGCAAGAAGCGGCAGATGGCAGCCCGGGAGCGCAAGGTGACACGGACCATCTTTGCCATCCTGCTGGCCTTCATTCTCACCTGGACGCCCTACAACGTCATGGTCCTGGTGAACACCTTCTGCCAGAGCTGCATTCCCGACACGGTGTGGTCCATCGGCTACTGGCTCTGCTACGTCAACAGCACCATCAACCCTGCCTGCTATGCCCTCTGCAATGCCACCTTCAAAAAGACCTTCAGGCACCTGCTGCTGTGCCAGTATCGGAACATCGGCACTGCCAGGTAGGCAGGCAAGGGTGCCCCAGAAGGTGCTGGTGGTCACGTGTGTGTGCTGAGCCACGTGGTCTCTCCCGTGGCTGTCAGGGAGAGATTTGGAAGCATCTCTCCGTGTTCACGTTCGCTGAAGAGAACTGAGGTCCCCAAGACCCCGTGAGGCTCAGGAAGAATCTCTGGCAGGATTCAGAGAGACCAGATCTCTGCTCAGGCTGAGGAGGGTCAGCCCCAGAAGCGTCTGAACCAAGACTGCCTGGCCCACCTCTGTTGCCCTGCCTCAGGGAGCTGGGAGGCACTGGCCTCCTGGGGCACCTGCCCCACTGTGACCAACCAGCATGGCTGAAATAATGACATCTGGAGGGAAGTAAAAGCCCAGAATCCCCCTTGGGAGGAGCAAAGGAGCCACTGCTTTGGAAAGGAGGCTTCGGAAGGGAGTGGAAGGCTAGGGTCCCCCATTGTGCCGTAGTTGGTGCTTTCTCCCTGCTGCACCCCGCATGTAGGCTCAGCCCCTCCTCCCGGGTCCCGTTCCAGGGGCAGAGCTCTCCCCTTGCTGCAGCTGTTCAGCCAGGCTCTGGGTGGGTGGGCTCTCAGGGCCCCCTGCCACATGCCCCTCGCAGCCCTGCACGTTCAGGATGGGGTAGCTGGGAGGTCAGGGGTGCACACTCAGGAACTGAGGTCTGGCTTCCTGAGGTCCCATGCTGAGCAGAGGCCCAACGGATTCTGAAGAGTTCTCCCAGCAGGCTTCTGCAGTGAGGGAGGCCTGGGTCACAGGCGAGAATGGGTGCGGACTTGACTGTCACAGGCTTCAGTGACAGCGAGGGCCGGGCCGTACCAAAAGGCCTTTGGTTGAGTGTGGCTGACATGGGGAGTGTCAGTTCTAGGGAATCTTCCAGGTTCCCTCCCAGTCCTGGTGTGGCCCCTGGAAAGACCAGACTGAAAGGCTCAGGTGACTTGATGGGGGTCCCCTTTCAGGAGTCAGTAGGGGCCCTGGGAGAAATTTTCACCATTCTGCTTTTCCCATGAGCTCTGGGGAGCATTCACCGCCAAGCCCCCCGGCCCCTAAAAGCCACAGTTCCCACAGCCTTCCTTTTCCTTCACCAGTTCCCGCCCCAACAAATTACCACAGCAAACTCCCTGGGAAGGGGCTTTTATATATTAAAAGAAAAGCTTTTATTGGGGGGAAAAAAACCACAACGGTTTATTTGTTTCTTAGTAATGGCATCTTTGTGGGGAAGGGCAAAAGGGGGTACCGGGAATCACATCCCTCTGGGGCAGGAGGCTCAAGTGGTCCACAGTCCCTTGTTCCTCCCCGTTTGGGACACTTGGGGGTGGAGAAGTGAAAGGGAAGAAGCAGGGTATGATTGATAAAGCTAATGAGTAGACAAAAGGCACTGGTAGGTTCGATCTTGGCCCCGTGGGAGGGAGGGCACAGGCCCCGGGCTCCTTGGCATCCAGACCTGGCCGCTAGTCCTTTCCCTTCCCTTTCTTGGCTGTAAAACAAGTGAGAAATAATGCGTTAGAGGAGTCCTGGTGACCAGGAGAGACCCCCCTGCACATACATCAGGGAGAAAATTCTGCCCCCTAGTGGCTCCGGATCAGCTGACCTGGTGGCCAGGGGGACAGTGCAGCCATATTGATGCTGGACCTGCCCCACACCAACTTATACTTTCACTGGGGTTCAGAAAACCTTCAGGCTCTTGGTCCCAGCCGCCCTCAGTCTCGGCCTCCTCACCTAAGAAGTGGGCTGATTCACCTCTGCCCTGATGGCCTCTCTAGGCTACTGTGAATCAGGAAGGAGCTAAGGGATAGCACAAGTGTGGGCTGTGAAGTCCTTTCAATACTGGAAAGGACCCAAGCTGACCCAATGCTCCCTCTGGCTGGAGAGATGACAAAGGCAAGTCCTTCCAGGTCAGTCAACTTCCCTGAACCCTAAGCAAAATGCTCCAACACCACAGAGCGGGTTTGTGCTTCCATCTGGGCCAGATTTAATAACCCATGAGTACCTTCCGCGGGCCCCCCTCGGTATGTGCCCCCTAAGCTATCTCTACAGACAGGGAAACCAAGTGCAGAGATGTCAAGAAGTCCTTCTCCAAAGTCCAAAACTTCAGGCTTAACCGTTCCCTTTCACAGGTGGTGCAGCCCCCCCAGC